AAGATGGAAGAAATATGGACACACTTGATGATGGTGTTGGCTAATATTAACTCCACCATGGATGGAAGAACAAACATTTGTCTTGGAAGAAGTACCATATATACTTGAGTATAAGCTGAGTTTCCCTGCACATTTTTAATGCAGTTCTGTGGTAAAATTAGGTACCTCTGCAGATATTCAGGTCTGTAAGAATGCTCCTCAGATATGCACCTTTGGACATGTTATAAAGGAGGAGAGGAACCTCCTGCTTGGTAAAGAGGAGGGTGAACCGTTAGGGTTCTATCAACACAACAGTAAATAAAGAAAAGATCTATCTTCAAGGAAATGGATTTGGGTATCTTATCAAAGGAAATGAAAATGTTCTGGAGATGAAGATAGGTGTCAGAGAAAGAAAGGGGAAGCTTTTAGCCAAGACTTAAGATTTCATCATGGAGGGTGTAACATGTAAATAGGGCCGGCATGGTAGAAAAGTGTGTTTTTTGTTTATTTTTAGGAAGCCTTGCTGACACATTTTTAATGAATTGGGTAGGGAAAAGAGTAATTTTAATTTATCCCTCAGGGCCAGGTAAAATGGAGAGTGAGTGGTAAAGGGGTTCACCTTCAATGAGATGGACTGACACTGTGCTGCAAACTCAACAAGTGAGAAGGTGGTACAGGGCCAGGCAGTGCTTCGTTCTGGCGACTACACGGTACTCTGAGTCAAGACTGACTTGACAGCACCCAGTACCAGCACCCAGGGCGACTCATGAGGGTTGCAGTTTAATGAATGTTTTGCTAGTTTTGGAGGATGATAAGATCCAGTAACGTGAAGAAGTCCTGTTCCCAAGGGCCCAGAAGTTTTTCTCTAGTAGAAGATGAAAGATCAAATGAGGAAAGTCCCAAATAGAATGGAAATTAGGCTTTAAAGGCACAAAAAGCACTGTTGACTTGAGTTTGGGCCCAAGTAAAACTCAACTACTAAAAGGTATATCTAGCAAAGGCAAGAAAAAAATCTTCAAAATCTCTTATTTCTGATGCTGACCTTCAGAGTGTAGGTTTTTAAATGAGTCTTCTGATTAGTCTACCTAAACTGACACTTTAATTACTACTTTCACACATGAGAAATCGAGTATTAATGAATAATTTTCTTACATTGAAGGATGTTTCTTTAAATCTAATCTATACAAAGAACACCATATACACATACATATAACACCTCTCAAATATATCTGCACTGGAAAACTAAATCTCTATCTTTAAGTTGCAACTACAGATCAAGAAAGTCACTCCCTCTCTTGGCTGAGCTTGTAAGAATCTACGGGAAATTCATGGAACAAGAAAGATCAATTGCTGCTGGGGCAGCCACTGCAGTTCTGGTGGGGGTGGGGGTGGCATCTGGGAGGCGGGGAGGGTCTGGACACTATGGCACCCCTCTAATCAAGGAGCAGAGACTTTCACACTGGTGTGAAAAAGAGATGAGTGGTTGGATCTCTGCAAATAGAGGCCTGGAGCTGATACTGCCAAGCACAGCCCTGAGCCTCTTGCAAGAGTGATAAATTCAATGGCAAGAGTAGATAAAGAAATAAAGTTGAACAAAGTAAAGCAGTGATGCATGTCCCCTGCCCCCCTCCCACCTAAGTAGAGAGGAAACTGCTGTTGCCCTGAAAATTAGGATAAACAAGGAATGCCCTTAGATTTTGTTTGGGATATGAATATAAGTTTAGGAAATTAAAGCTCAAACTTAGTGTTTTCGCTAAGACATCACCAAATAAAAGATGCTTCAGAAGGATTTGCCCTTAATGAATATTTAGGAAAGTTTGGCTGAACCTAAGTTCACAAAACAAATGTATAACACACACAAACAATGCATTATGAGCAAGAGCCAGAAGAAAAACAGGAAGATTAGAAACCACCTTCTGCCAAAATCATTTCAAGTAATAGAATTATGATCAATAGGCATAAGAATAATTTTTAAATCACTGGTACTAATTTCTCTAGGAGCCCTGCTGTTATGCATTGGGCTGCGATCTGCAAGGCCAGGAACTTAAAACCACGAGCCCCTTCCTAGGGAGAAAGATGGGGCTTTCTATTGCCATGAAGAGTTACAGCCTTGGAAACTCACAGTTCTATTCTGTCCTGCAGGGTTGATAGTTTTTGTTGTTTATATACACTCTGTGTATGCCTCCAAAAATTGTATAAAATAAATTCCTGGGTGCATGGGTTTGGATTTGTGGCAGGTCCGAACCCATGGGCCTCTCACAGTGTCCCATGCGAAAGCAAACTGTCACCCGGAACCATTGCTTGGCTTTACCTCGTGAAGATAAATAAATAAATTCCTGGTTCATGAATGGGAGGTGTTCTGTACCCTCTTTCTTACCTACCAAGAACACAGATTCCTAAGATTTCAAGATCATACAAATTAATGCATATTTTGTCATGTATAATTACCGAAGTGATTGTGTAGAACAAATAATCACGGGCCTGGAAAATCCCCGAGACTTTCTGGAATACAATGAAGATATACACACAGTGTTCACTCTACAGGGCTTGCTCTTTAAAACCAAAGTTTCCAAAATGTCAGCATTTTGATACACTCAGGAATTAGTTGAAAAGAGGTTTTCCAGCAGAACTAAGAAGGGACTAGATATCCCTCCCATTTTGGCTTTCATTATTGCCTTACACAAGTGTGACTATACCAAAGAGCAAGTAGGTAGTTCCTGAGATGGACTGTGAAAGTCTTCACCTTTCGGCCGAGACAGTTAAGAGCTTGTCTTAAATAAAGGTCAACAACAACAGACTGGCTCCCGTCCAAACAAAACTGTTTTTATGATTTATTAACTTGTCGATAGAGACTATGTGGAGTACATAAGTACATATAGCAGGTAAAATTATATTCATTAAGAATACGCACACTTCAAAAAGGATGAACTTAAAGACTGAAGGTGATTTTAATTTTTATTGTTACCTTTTGTGACACATACTTTAGATTATTGGATCAGAATAAAATAACCAGGAATGTTTCGGGAGGTCTTATAGTAAAAAATAAACAGCCGGAGTCACATAGTGTCTTCAGTTTTCTCAAGGGGTTTCAAAGAGTTAGTGGAATTTCCAAAAAAAGTTAAATAATGGAATTTTTCCATGGACTTCTTAAAGCCCCCTCATATTTATTATTGGTGTTTGAAGAGCACAAAAAAGTAAAAAATAAAAGAATTTCTAGTTCATGTAAACCATAACTTTATAGGTTAAAAAAAACTAAGACTAGAGAAATGTCCAAAGACTTTAATACATCAACAGTCTCGACTTCATCCACAACCTTGCCCTTTCTTTTCTAGGCATCCCCTGGTTCACTGCCAAAGAATCTGTACTCTGACTAAGGTGCTGGTGATGTATGCTGCCAATTCTAAGAGCATCTGCACTTTGAAAAACTGCCCATGGGATCAAGATGACAACCCCCAAAACATCCATATCTTTATGTCTGTCCATCTAGCTTTAGCCACCATCTCGCAGGACCAGACCATTATAAGGAAGAAACTTCATAAAAAGAGAATGCAGTGTAATTTTGTGCTTGTACTTATTTCAATTCTGAGATATGATTTGCATCTTTAACTTGTATTTCTTAGGCTTATTTTATTTTCCTTTCTGCTGTTATTTGCTTTTAAATGTTAATAATACCTGTCTACTAGTTTCTTCTGTCTTTCAGAATTACCCATATCAATCATTACTGAATGACAAATGACACATAGGTAAACAGAAGGCCACGATAAAGGGTCAAATTACAAACAGGTGTTCTCTGGGAGGCATTCACCTGCTGCCTCACCAGAGTTGACTGTTTTTCCAAAGGGAAACTGAACAATAAAGTCCGAGGTCATCTCCCTCACCGAGAGAGAAGGAAGGGTCCTCCGACAGTATGGCACTGTGAATAGCAATGATGCCAATGGAGCCCAGTCTACTTGATAAAATAGGAGATTTACAAACATCTGTGATAAATTTCTACCCGCTCCAACTTCTTGCATTGTTTGCTTTCCTGTTCTGATTTGAAATGTTGACATAGATACTCTAAGAGACCAGACACCTCATTGATGCTGAAGAAAAAAGAGAGAATAGCATCAAGTTTTTCAGTTTCCAAGTTTCTCCATCTCACAGCTCAAAATAGAAAGTACAGAGAATGTTGGTAAGCAACAATGTCCTGGTGCATTTTTAGATAAACTATTGAGAGTCCACTCATCAATTTCCTATTTGACTCACCTGATAAGTAGATAGACAACAAATTATACAATGAAGGACAAATTTAAAGACAAAGGGCTCTGCTGACTTATTTAAAGCTAAAACTTCATATTCTTGTGGGTTACTGACAAAATGGTAGGTAGGCCTCAGAAAGTTGTAGATCAGAATTTTGAAAATCCAATGGTCAGTTCCTAAGATCTTAGGTGAAGCTACATTCAAAAGAAAATTTTGAATTGGGACAAATATAATACTTTGATAATATTAGTGGACACACACGCACACACAAAACGTACAGGAAAAAAATGCAACTATTTAAAAAGCAGGATTAAATTTATCTGTGAGTGGGAACGATTACTTTCAAAACTAACTATGTAAGTCTTTGACTAAGTACTATTTTCTTAGATGCAAGATTAAAGAAGAGGGCATGCATGGGAGAGTTTAGGAATTAACTAATGCAGGGTTACGAAATATGGTAGTTTCTGATCCGTTTCCAGCACCAAATACACGAAATACATGATTGAGGAATTTATTCATATGAATGAGGCAAAAAGAACATGCATAGTGACATATACCTTGGAGGCATAGTGTATATTTGAATTTCATTTGCATTTTTAGACAATGGAGTAACTCTTTTGCAGGCTGCACTACAACACAAACACACCATTGAAGAAAACAGACTAGGAATTTCAGCATTCATTCGATGTTTCTGGAAGTTAAGCAAAGTAGCCAATTAAAAACAACATGGCTGTTTCTTCACTCTCCGCAAGCGTAAGATTAGTAGGAGCAGAAAAGCTTACCTGGGACAGGGCTCTTTCTCGAATTTAAGCTCTGAGAAGCCACAGTTTCTTCGGTTTGCCCATCTGCTTCTGCCTCCGTTTTGTTTTGATTCTCTTTGCCGCCTTCATTATCGCAAGTTCTTATGCTTTCTTCCTCTTCTAAGACTCCCTGAGCTTTGGTGGGAGCACTAAGGGTCGTGGCTCCAGCAGGAGCTGTCACTGGAGTGGGAGGAGGAGAAGCTGGAGGGGTTGGAGGAGTAGGAGAGAAGGAATGAACTTTGGAAGGAGTGATGGGAGCTGGGGCACATTCCACTTTCATTTCTTCTGGGGGATTTTCCAGGATCTCTAATTCGTGAGTCAATGGTAGCACCTCCTGTTTTACTATTTCCACAATGCTTTCCGTGGTTGGTAATTTTTCACTAACTCCATTCATTTCATTAATTAGGTTAGTACTAGAAATCCCTGGAATATCATTAGGAGCTACATTACAAGGTTTCTTGCATATATCATCATCGATTTCATCTGTTGGTGAAGGGTCTGATGCTTCTGTGCAAGATGTGGGGCTGGGTATAGGAAATGTGTCCTCTTTGGGGGAAGAGAGTTCACATCTGTCATCCATCGCACTGGTGAATATCGGCTGGCTACTCAGAGCAGCAGAGGGCGGGGAAGCAATCGCACTGCGAGCCAGTGGAGAAACAGTGGTAGGTGCTGCAGGCAGAGGAGGCTGTGGCGTGGATGCCACTGCAGCAGGCTCAGTCGTCAGACCTGCTTGTTCCTTCTTCTCCCCACTGAGGACGAGCCTAAGGACTGGAGAAGGAGACTTTAACACTGGATCTGGTTTTAGCTTCTCTTCTATGGAAGGAAACATAAAAAAGAATTTGAAGAATAATTTGTGCATCTGACACTACTTTGTATTATTTTATCATCTAAATCTAAATTATGGGCTGCAGACTAGAAGCCAACTTATTATACGTACTCAGCTATTCTGAAAACATTGCTGTATTTTTTCCAGTTACACAGTTACTTGGCCTCCATTACATATACAATTTATCTTAGAGTAAAAGAAGAGATTGGTTCATTGAATGATTGTGTCAAGAGTAAACTGGAATAACACAGCAAAACTATTCTTGGGAGGAGACTTTTATTTTTAAGGTAGTGAAAACTTAATCTCTACCACAGCAAGAGTCCCTGTGAGAAGTTTTTCTACCAGGGCTGCACTACTGTGACAGGACAAATGATATATGGCTGAACTATATAAAGAGAATGGAATTACTTTTTATTCAATACATTTTTGCACTGTTTGGAATTTACTTGTATTTCAAGAGAGACCATCACAGCCTGGGTGAAAATTTCAAGTTCTGGAGTATAAAAAGTTAAGTTTAGACAATAATTTAACTTTCATTTATCAACATATGATTATATCAGAAATAATATAAGGATGAAAAATGGAAAATTTACTTTGTCTTCAAATATAAATTTTTTTTGAAGAAACCAGTTAGTACTCAGATAAGCAAGTTCTATGCTTAAAAATATATATACTTGCATATTTCAGAATAATATACGAACTCTGTGTGTGTTTAGACAGATTGACAGCAAGAATGAGAGTGAAACTGTCATGATAAGAACTCAAACACATGGAAGTAACTCTAACAAAATGTTAGGTGTTTAGATTCCAGGTAAACCAAGATGTGATTAACTCCTGAGAGAATAAAAACAAGAGAGATTTAGACTTGCTTTTGCACTTGTGTTTCTTGAGCATGATAAATAGGATCCATTGGAAAAACAGAAAACACTTGAGCATGTCTGCCCAATGGAAACAAACAATTTTAAGGACTAGAAGGCTATCTAAAGAATGTCCTTCACTTTCTTCTCCAAAACCTTTCCATCAGTGACCAGTCTCTACAACAAACTGTAGTTAAGTCTGCCAGAGAGAATTCACTGAATCAGATAAGCAGATGGTAAATCTGACCATTAAGCTGTCCAAGCTTTACTCATTCACTGTGACTACATGTACGGGTAGGTCTTCAAATCCACTTTAATTTACAGGTGTAGAGGCTAGAGCTTCTAAAATTGGACTCTGCTTTCTATCTAATTCTGCCAGGAGGTGAGATGAGAAAACATCTCTGATGAAACTAATCCCCACTCATTAGGTTGTTACATGGGTTCTTCAGATTCCATGACAGTACTGAATAAAACTGTGTCAGGAAAACGTTTTTCTGATTGCTAAATAATGTCCAGATGCAATAAAGTAAAAAATAAAGAAAACAATAATTCTAGCACTAACAATGCAATAGGAGAATGTCAACTCCATGATTAATTCTGGGACACAAAATGTCTGGTGGTCAAATTTAACTGAAGCATATACATAGTATTCTTTTTCAATCCAGCAATATTGAAGAGAAATAGAAGCAAAATAAGAGCTAATTCTATTGAGCTCATTTTGAAATGTAAGTCCCATTGTTCACTCAGTAATTACTCAATAAAGGTTTAACAGATAAAGCTACAAAGTACAAGAGAGAGCTACTAAGTAAAGATCACTGATTTCATTCCTCAAAGGCTTCTGCTTTGTCCTGTTGTACACAGGGTTGCTGTGAGTCACAAGGGACCCAACGATGCCTAACAACTAACAACATAGCCTTTCACTGTGCATGGCTTCTTTAGCGTGTTCAAAAACAAGCATGTTGCTTTGAGGACTAAGGTGTACCTGATCCAGTCATGGTATTTTCAATCACCCCAAAACCATGTGAAAAGTTGTATAATGACTGCTGAAGACTAAAGAAGAATTGATGGATTTGAATTATGGTTCTGGTGACGAATACTGAAAATCCCATGGACTGCCAAAAGAACATGGATATTTGTCCTAAAAGTATGGCTGGAATGCTCTGTAGAGGCAAGGATGGTGAGGCTTCATCATCATACTTCCTAATTTGGACATGCTGTCAAGAGAGACCTGTCCCCGGAGAAGGACATCATGTGAGGTGGAGTGCGTGAAAAAGAGGGAGACGTTTGATGACATGGTGGACACAGCGGCTCCAACGTAAGGCAATGCTGAGCATGGCGGAGGACCAGGCCGGCAGGTTTTGTTCTGCTGTACACCGGGCACTATGAGTTGGACCCAAACTGATCACACCAACAACAACGACTACTACTTTAAAGATTATGAACAGAGCTATGATAGCTGTGGTAGCTAGAAATCTCATATATTACCTTAAAAATAGTTATGCTATTAACCATCTTTAGGAATTTCATCCTTAAGATATTTTGCTAAGGACATAATCATGAAGGAAATTAGCAAAGATGAAGGTCAGGAGTATTTAAGACAACATTTTATTAGAGAAAAAAATCATAAATCAACTAAATTTATGACAAAAGCTGCTGGCCTAGACATATAATGGGGTACAATGCAATATCTTAAAATGGGCCTTTAAAAGAATAAGGACATAAAAAGTTGCATGTACATGCTTACGAACATGCATGAGGGTAGTTTTTAGAATCCTGCTAACCTTTACTAAACAATCAGAGTGGGAAGCTTTGTTTCTCGACATGTCCTTCAACTGGGTCCGTCCTTTCTGCAGGCAGGGTCTCTGTCTCTCTAACACCCCAGGGTTTACAGGCCAACTTACGTCCAACAGTAAGTAGTTTGAGCTTCCTCAATATGTGCTCCTTTGAAATGTTTTTTGAGTTTCAGGAACAAAAAGGAGGTTGAAGGAGCAAGCTAGGTTTCTAGGGTGAATAAGGTTGCTCAGTGAAATCCCTAAAGGCAGTCAGTCCTTGCTCCCTTTCAAGAATGAGCATGTGCATTTCTGTAATGGAAATCAAATTCCTCCATGCAACTTTCCTGCCCTTTTTTCCAACAATGCAGTTTTTCAGTTTACTCTTTTCTGCTTATCCTTATTGCTCTCTTTTCCATACATTTATGAGAAGACAGAACAACCCTTCTTTTATTTTTATATGGTGGTGGACCCGATTGCCTTTGTGGTTGACTAAGAGGGTACTACTGTCATTAAATGGGCTGAGACGTGGAACACAAAACATTTTGCCACTTGAGATAAAGTCTCACTTGAAAAACAGTAAAACCAAAAACCCATTGCCATCAAGTCACAGAGTGGGACTGCCCCCAAATGAGTCAAAGGCTGGAAATCTTTTTAAAAGAAGACTGCCACATTCTACCCCATGGAATGGTTGGGGAGCTCTAACTGCTCCCCTCTTGGCTGGCAGTCATGAGCTTTAACCAATCGACCACCAGGGATCCTTTAAAATACCATTGTTTGGTCTAAAAATTCAACAAAGCAAAATGGCTCTAAATGGTTGAATTACAACAGAATACCATCTAGCCGGCACTCTTTCCTAAAGAATCTTCCAAGTCTTCCTCGTATTTAAGTATCCATGCCATATACCCTCAACATGAAATAGTAATCAGCTGTTTAAACAACTGAACATTTCAATTCATTCAACTGTTTTTCTCTTAACAAACTGAGGGGTTCCCCAAATCTTCATAAAGTACCAAAACATTTGGAAAATGGAAACTTAGTCTTCATGGAAGCATTCCAGCTGTTGACATCCAAACCGTCTGAGAAAACGGAAAACTTCGTGTGATAGCTAACATTAAGTACTTACGGAACTGGTCTAATACCATATGGAGATCTATTTCCTTCATCCTCACAACTACCACTAGGGTAGGACTATTATCCTATTTTATAGGTGGGGCAAAAGGTTTGAGAGATTAATCACAGGTCCAGGATCATATAACTATTAAGTGCTGGAAGCTAGGGATGATTTCAGAGCCCACATTTGTCTGATTCAGGAAGTGGGGGGAGCTTATATAATTAGACATATTTAGGTGAATCATTCAAGTTTTTGAGGCTCTGGTGCTATCATGAGTGGAAACCTTGCAGACTTATAGTAATAACATCTCCATTGCGAGATAAACCAATCCCACTGCAGAATGCAGAGTCTGTTCTTTCTGGTAGGAATGAAGCAACATTTAAAAACATTTTGTTTTTACATCCTAATGCAATTTCAAAAGGAAATCTATAGTTAAGAAGAGAAAACAATTTTTAAAAAACAAAGCAAGATTTTAAAAAAATATATAAAAGATAGTGAACCTTTATCTGTATGCATATGTTATCTGTATGTATACGTATCACCTGTTTTAAACAGGCTGGTTTAAAAAAGTTTCTAAACACCCAGTTTTCTGGTGAATAGTTGGCACCAAGAGGAAGATAGCAATGTTCTCAAAGAGCTACTTAGAAGTTGTCTGAAATGCATTTAAATGGACCCAAGTTTCTCTTTTCATAGTGTTTTTTTCATTCATCATCTATTTCCTACATAAAATTAAAATGTTTCTTTTATTATTCAAATTTCCACTAAAAGACTTGAGAAGAAACCAAGAACGTGCCTTCCCTCTGGCAGTCAAAACCTAAGTACAGCAACATGCCAAGGGTATCATAATAAAAACCTTACCATTCTTTTTTTAAATTAATAAATCATCTCATTGGAGGCTCTTACAGCTCTTATAACAATCCACACATCAAGTGTATCAAACACATTTGTACATATGTTGCCATCATCATTTTCTAAACATTTTCTTTCTGCTTGAGCCCTTGGTATCAGCTCCTCTTTTATCCCACCCTTTCACCCTCCAACCCTCGTGAACCCGATAAATTATTATTTTCATATCTTTACACCATCTGCTGTCTCCCGTTACCCAAGTTTCTGTTGTTTGTCCCTGTGTGTGTGTGTGTGTGTGTGTGTAATACGTCAATCATTGTAGTTGATTCCCTGTTTCTCCCCCCATCTTCCCCCTAACCTTTATGTTATCTCTACTCCCATTACTGTTCTTGAGGGGTTGATCTGTCCTGCATTCCATGTGTTGAGAGTTCTTATTTGTACCAGTGTATAAACTCTGGTCAAACTGGGTTAGAAAGGTAGAACCGGGGTCATGATAGTGGGAGAGGGAGCAAGCATTAAAGAATTAGAGGAATGTTGTATGTTCCGTCGGTGCTGTGCTGCACTCTGGGCTGACTCATTCCTTCCTTGTGACCCTTCTGTAAGGGAATGTCCAAGTGTCTTCAAATGGGCTTTGGACCTCCACTCTGACCCCCATCATTTGCATAGATATATTTGTTTGTTTGGGGTCTTCTGATGCCTGATACCTGATCCTGTTGACACCTCGTGATCACACAGGCTGGTGTGCTTCTTCCATGTGGGCTTTCTTGCTTCCATGTTACATGGCCACTTGTTTAACTTCAGATGGTATATCTTTTAATAGCCATTAAATAGGGCATCATTAATAGGGCATCATCAGCTTTCTTCACATTTGCTTATGCACTCATTTTGTCTTCAGCGATTGTGTGGAGAAGGTAAGCATCACAGAATGCCAGGTTATTAGAACAAAGTGTTCTTGCATTGAGGGAGGACGTAAGTAGAGCCCAAATGCCCAGAGACCAAATGACCGTCTGCTACTTTAAATACTTAACATTTAAATATATGTACACAGATCAATATCCCTATCATATACATTAATATTTACATATGTGCATGCCTATATTTATACCTCTAAAATGTCTTTTGCCTCCTAGTTCTTCCCTCTATTTATTTTTACTTTCCTCCTGTCCGACTATCATATTCGACCTTCATTCGACTTTTAGTACATTCCTCCTTTAGTACTTGATGAAGTACATTGCAGTTCATCAAACCCCATCAGGCATCCTACACCCTCCTCACCATCGATTTTAGATCTCCTATTGTTCCCCTGTCCTTGGGTTTGTTGGGTCTCCCCACCTCCTCTCTCCCATGGTCCCCACTGCCCTACCGAGCCATGAACCCTGGGATTGGTTATCCTGCCTATCTTATATGGATAGACATGAAAAAAGAAAAGAGAAAAAAAAAAATCCTATAAATAGTTCCAGGTCTGTCTGTTAAACTGAATGTTTTATAATTGGATCTGGTAAAGTGCCATGTCCTGCCCACCAATCCTGAAATTTTTTCGGGATTTCTCGGGAACATCATTGATTTGTTCCTTTGCTGCTCTGTTGCACTCCCTTTGGGTTCACTCAAGTGTGTGTGGGTGAGGGTGGGGTCAGACTGGGCACAATTTCCTGTGTCTCAAGTGCAGTCCCCTGTAGCACTGTGGGTCAATGAGGGGGGTGGCGTCATGTCTCATGGTGGGGCCGGCCCCAAGGTCCTGGTCCTCTCTGTCCATTGGCTGCTCAGAAGAGAAATGGCGCCCTCGAGGCTTGATGGGCCAGGATGAGGTTCCCCCCAACCCCTAGTTTGCTCCCATGTGGTTGGGCAGACCTGCCACACTCCCCGGGCTGTATCTTCAGTGCTCTCCTCCGTAGTGTACTCTTCTGGGGAGGGGGTCGACATAACTGGGACTGGGGCTGATCTGGCAAAAATTTTAGCATTCTTAAACATTTTTTAAAAAAATCTGCCATAGAGACAGCACCATCCTCAAGCAAGTCAGAACTATCATCAGGAGGGTGTGTTCTAGATTTGTTGAATCTTAGCAAGCCAAGAAAAGTTTATCTACAAGTTTACAGACAGGATAGATTTGAAGGCCTCTTTTCATGGGATATATGTGATAATGCTTTGAATGATTCTAAATAGCCAGACCAAAACTGTGTAAAAGTATACTGAAATAAAGTTTTGATGGGAATACACTAAAAATTCTTCTCCACATAGATTGTGCACATTTGGAATTTTTACAAAAGGTGGCTTATTACTGAAAGTAAGGAAGGTGATCTTTCATCAAACTTACAATCACCACCACATTCCTGGAAGGTGAATGGATTTCATATTAAATCAATCAGCTTGAAGCATGGATGAATTCTGCTTTAACTCAATATTATTGCTAAAGGAAGTATCTGGCAATGGAACTTTCAGAAGCAGACCAAGGTTAGGTTCCTCATCTGCCTTTAGACTTATCTTATTAAACAAACACAGTAACATAAGACTTGACTTGTCTGTGCTTAAGTTTATTTTATTAGGCTCTTCGATACTTAAGGGAAAATAATTTTTTCTTTTAAAACACCAGTTATCTGTGCATGCCATAGAAAAGTACTAAAATGAGGCACTAGAAGTTCTTCTTTGAGAAGTTTGATAACTGAGATTAACTTACAGGTTAATCAAGAAACTAATAGTAAACACCTCTACCTTGTATTATGAGTCAATCGCAAAATGCTTTTCTTTTTCTCCTAAAGAATACTGCTTAGAAATTGCATTTAATAACAGGTACAGAATAATGAGTTTTGAGGAATAAATAATTCAAGAAAATAATAACACAAGTATCATTTATAATCGTTTTTTTTCAATGATGCCAGAGACATTATAAAAGAATTCTAAAAGTCACTGATTTCCCTGCTGTGCTTAGTGAGAATTGTTTCCCAGTGTTAGCGAAGGTCAATTTAAAACCCAAACAAGCAACAAAAAGAGACTATGATATTTCATTGTATTTGAGATTCCTCTTAAAGTTTTATTTTTACAATCTAAAAGGCAACTTGGCACTTTCATGGTCAAGATCATTAGATGTAGAGACCCTATTATGGCTTCTGCAGCAACAATAACTATAATCTTCCAAGCACTTTTTAAGTGGCAAGCATCTCCAGTCCAGGTCCCATAACAACCTGGTAAGGTAGGTCTTCCACATTCTATTCTGTAAGTGAAGAAATTGAGGTTCACAAACTAAGTGTCCCTCAAGGCCAAATAGCTCACTGCACAATGGAGCCAGGACTTGAACTCAGTACTCTGATTGTAGCTACAGAAGCCCAATCTTGTCAGAAGAAAATTTTACCATTTTAAAAATTGCAAGATACATGAGGGGATTTTAAATCGTTTGTGGAAAAATGGAACTAAAAGATAACAGAATTTTTTTTCTTAAGCATATATATAAACTATCTTGTTCTTGATTTATCCACCTCTCCCAATGTTGTTCCAAAACACAACTTTAAGGTACCTAGGTTTTGAGCTATCGATATTCATGGAGGGTCACTGATACACTATTGGACTAAACTTTCACTAACCACCTTTTTTCATTGTCTAGAGGTAGAACTGTCTGGATTTCCAGCTCAAAATTCTATTTAAAAGTGGGTATCTAAATAATCCTCATATCGTTTAATCTTACTCTTTAATGGCGAGGACAATGTAATTCATTAAAAAGAGACAATATAAAAGGGAGCAAAATGGTCATCCACAAACCTTGCTTCTGGTCGCTAGGTGCAGTGACAGGGGTGCTGGCAGCAAGATGAGCGCTCTCCACAGTCCCATAGACCACAGGGCTGTGCTCGGGGACCTGGCTGGGCAGCTGCTGGGATTTGAAGTACAAAAAAGGGTGATAATGAGCGTGCGAACATAAAAACTAGCAACACGGAACCCAAGCAAGTGGGGAAGACAGTAAGGCAGATTACAAAAAAAGAAAAAGAAAGAAAAGCAAGGAAAAAAATATATGGGCCAATTTAATAAATTCAAAAAGGCAAGACAGGGCAGGGAGGCAAAGAGGCAGCAGGGAAGGGGAAGGAAAAAAGATTATTACTATTAGCCACAGCAAGAGAGACAGCAACGACAGTCAGCAATATAATTCATTTTCCACTGTTCCTTCTAAGAACAAGCTGATGTTTCAATCTAACAATAGATGCGCCACATTTGAGAGGGAATTTTGCATCCTCCCAAAGGGATTTGGCCAACTTATAAACTACTACCTATACTACTACCTATACTACCCAAGTAGTAGAGGTACTTCTGCCCAAAGCAGGACAAACAGAACAAAAATGAAGGATGACTCCTGTTATTTGTCCGTATCATTATACAGGTGAAAGGCAATTAGAAAGTCCTAACTACACTTCCACCTGAAGTCTTTAAGTTCGGAGACAATGATGGCAGCTGAGTAAAGACACTGGCTGTTCAGAGCTATGAGGAATCTCACGTTTCCACACAGCCAGTGTATCGAAAGAGGAAATGCCCATCACTATCCAAGCCACGATTGCAGCCCTTGTTCATCTTAGAGGGAACAAGAATTCCATAAGAAAGGACAGACACTCATCCGACAACACATTCCAGGTAGGTATTCTTCCTGGATTTGAGGGTTACACAAACGCCACAAAACAAAGCAGTGTGTCTCCTCAGAGATGGAAGGTCGGTTTGGCGGTAGGGTGGTAGGGTGGTCTCCTCCGTTGCATTCTGTCCGCGCTGTCAGAGCAGATCTCCCTGTACAACTCCTTTTATTTGATGGTGAGGGGACTAAGGACTGGGTGGGTAAGGGCAGTTAAAAGTGAGGGTTAACTAAAAATGTTTTCAAGTCAGTAATTCTAATTCAAAGCAGGGCTGTAAGATGAAATGCATCGTTTGGGGTATGCGCTATTTATGATGACAGATGCCACTCAAGTCACAATGCTGAAAAGAATATAAAATATGCAATCTTATTTGACCATAGATTAATATAACAGAAACAGGAATGGGGAAAATACTATAATTTCAGCTACCCATTAAAGCATGAAAGTGCTCCCATTCCACAATTATTGCTAAGTGAAGAGTACTAAAATTATATTCCCATATATAAAAAAGGAAGAGTTATTGTTTCACTTTAAGCCATGAACAATTAATTGGAAAATATTGCCTGACATTATTACTCTATTCTGTGTTTAGCTTCGGTGAAAAATATCACTGCAAAATAGAAATTCAAATATCTGAAAGGCTTCATAGCCATAAAGAAAAATACCAACTCAGTTCAAGTCTACTGGCTGAAAAACATCTGGAACAAAAGAAACATTTCATGTCATTTAACTTCTATTAAACAAGTACCTAGATTTCTCAGGAAAGAAAGACTTGTAAATTGTATCATTTACCTGAAAGGAAGAACATAACAACTATACCAGTTGTCTGGGAAATTACTCTCTCCCCTGCTGAAAAAGGTAATTGTTACAAAATACAAAAACTATTGCTAAAATGGCATTAGATACAGTGCATGTAGATCAGAAGGTCTTCAGTCTAAGACTGTAGTATCTTTGATCATATTGAAGAGTTAACTGCAAAAGCCGTCTTAAATTAACACTGCCTTAGGAAGGATCTATATATAAAGCACACAAGAACGGATTGATAGTAGGTTGATTTGTGTCAAATCCAAAGAGCCCGTACTCAGTTACAGATCCACAAAACGCTAGAGAGGTACTTCTCATGTTTGTCCCTTGTAAAAGGAAAAGGAAGCGGACCTCCTACAGTCCCTTTGAACTCTGACACTCTACAAGCCAGTGATAACAGTATGCTATATGAAAAGAGTATAAGCCAATGCTTTAATCTTGTTTTAAATTCCATTTTAATTAGGATAAGCTCTTCAAATTTTTGTTTAAGCTCTAATATCTCTCTTCTCGCTCAATCATAAAGTTCATTATAAAGGAAAACCCTGCACAAAGAACAACTAATCATGACTTGTTTGATCTAATCACTAAGTCAGAAAAATCAGGCAATACACTTACTGTCTTGACTCAAAACGTCACACTCAAAGCACTTAGTTACATAAAGAAACGAAGCTATTGAGCAGCTACAGAACCTAGATGCAAACCCACTGATCAAGCCCATTCTGAGCAGACTGCTCCTTAGAGTATCGGAGGCAAAATATCTTTAGAGGAACAGAAACAACTTCAGCTTTCTCCCCTGGAGAAGTTGGTGCATTTGAACCGCCAACCTTGGGATTAGCAGCCCAAGCTAAACCCATTATGCCACCAGGACTCCTAACTTAGATACAGGTGGGGATGACACATGCTAGAATTATTCTGGAAAGGTAGCTTCTACAGTATCAAAATGTAAAAGGTTTCAATAAAGATGCTCAGAAAGTCAGGGTCAATGTCAAGGTTGAATTAGGTTGAAAAGTCAAGGTTATAGTTGGCAGAGGGGAAAAAATATTCTCATGTCTCAATTATGAGTGATAAGAGTTTTTTCAATGAGTTCTAGCCTATTAAGTACCAGATTCTACACTAGGCATAGGCAACAAAATCCAGATTTTATTATTAAACACTTTTTAAGAATAATTTAAATGCATTTTTCTTCACACTGCCCAGAAAAGGGTCATCACCATCCTTTGCTTTATCTTTTGAATCATGTGTGACAGAATGCATAACAACTGAGGAAGTTATAAGTAAAGGATTGCCACACTATGTATAGCCCACTGCCCAACACCTGCTTATATAGTGACCATGAACTAATAATATTTACATTTTTTAAAAAATCATTTCATTGGGGGCGCGTACAACTCTATCACAATCCATACATCCATCCATAGTGTCACGCACATTTCTTGCCATCATCATTTCCAAAATATTTTCTTTCTACCTGAACTTCTCATTACGCCCCCTCCGTCCCCTACCCTCCCTGCCTCGTGAACCCTTGATAATTTATAAATTATTTTTTCATGTCTTATACTGATCGATGTCTCCCTTCACCCACTTTTCTGTTGGCCCCCCCAACCCCCCAAGCAACATTCCCCTTACCCTCCTGGTATGGGGCTACTTTCAATATTGATCCTGAGGGGGTTATCTGTCCTTAAATTTTTTAATGGTTGAGGGGAAAAAAATTAAAAGAACAATCTTTCTTGACACGAGAAAGGTATATGTAATTAAAATTTCAGTGTCCACAGTAATCAAGAGCTACTGGAAAAGCCTTGATTTGCCACGGGTTTGGCTTTGTACTGCAACAGCATAGTTTGGTTGTGGGAGGACCCTATTTGCACTGGCTCACAAAGTCTAAAACACTTACTATCTGGTCTCTTAGAGAAAACAATTTGCTGACCTTTGTTATAAATCATGGGGAGACAGAGGCTGTCTCTTATGTCACAGTAAGAGGCTACGCAACTTAAATGCTTAATAATTGTTTGGAGTATAAGTAATGACATTAAAAGAACTTTGTAAAAAAAAAAGAACTTTGTATATTAACATATATAAATATTGCAAATAAGCAAGCATAGCCTCCATGAAGAAATATTATGAAATAGAGTTGCAAATTAATAATATATCTAATGACAAATTGATCAAAGCATGCCTCTTTCATAAGTGGGAGAGAATTCTCCCATACTCATTCATTAAAGGATGTGTATGTAAAATACTCCCCACCAAAAAATTTAAAAATAAAAAATGTCCCCCTAGTTTCTACCATGTACAAAGCATTTACTACAACAGACAAAAATCTTTAGCTTCACAGAGCTGATATTCTATCATGAGGAAAAAACATTCAAGAACAAAACACAAAATTAATCGTTTCAGTACACTAGCTGTATGCCCTGCAATAGCTCTATGTCCTGCTGCACGGGACCTCTGCAGAGTATTGAGAAGCAAGGATGTCACTTTGAGGGCCACGGTGAGCCTGACCCAAGACATCGTTTTCTCCATGGCCTCATGTGCGTGTGAGAGTTGGCCAATGACTGAGGAAGACTGAAGAAGAACGGATGCATCTGAGTTGTGGTGCTGGAGAAGAACACTGACAGTACCACGGACGGCAAGAAGGACTGACAGTACCACGGACGGCAAGAAGGACAAACGGGTCTGCCTTGGAAGAAGTGCAGCCAGAGTGCTCCTTAGGGGCCAGGATGGAGAGACTTGGTCTCCCGTCCTTTGGATGTGTTGTCAGGAGAGAGCAGTCCCTGGAGAAGAACACCAGGCTCGATAAAGTAGAGGGGCAGCGAAGGAGAGGAAGGCCCTCAGATAGATCAACGCCGTGGCGGCAACAGCGGCCCAGGCCCAGGCACTACTGCAAGGATGGCCCAGGACCGCGCAGTACTTCCTTCTGTTGTGCATAGGATTTTTTAAGGAAGCAACATTTACACTGATCTTCAAAGAATCAATGCGAAGGTAGGCATTCTGGAGGCACATAAGAAGTAGTGAGGAGGAAGCACTTCACGCAGAAGGAATAGCATGTGCAAAGACTGAAGATGGTTCTAAAAGAAAAATTAAGATATTATCAACAAGTTTGTGTGAAAGGAAAGTAGGAGAATCACAGTGTGAAATGAGACAGGTAGTCCACTGACCAGGCAGGGCTACACCAAGCATTCTGAACTTTATCCCCAAAACAATAGGAGAGGAAGTCAAAGGAAAACTTTTATGCAGCAACATGACAATCAGGTTTGCATTTTAAGATTCTTTGGACTACTGCATGGAGAACAGACTAAGGGAAAAAAGAATAGTTAACTACAAAGAATTTACATAAAGGTATTGAAGTAGCTCGAGGGAATAATTTTGGTGGTAGTAATAATAAAATTTTAAAAATCATGTTCATCAGGTAAGTTCTGACTCATAGAAATCTTATATAGGGGTTTTGAGGCTGTAAATCTTTATGGGAACAGGCTCTTCTTTCTCCCTTAGAGCTGCTGGTGGTTTT